ATGGATAACAAAAATGTGGTGATATCCATTGTTATCCATTCATGTATGTGATATATATATCACATTTTGTTATTCATTCATCTACTAAAGTGCATCTAGGTTGGTTCCATAGTTTAGTTATTGTGAATTGTGCTGCTATAAGCATTGATGTGGCTGTGTCCCTGTAATATGCTGTTTTTAAGTCCTTTGGGTATAGACCGAGGAGAGGGACAGCTGGGTCAAATGGTAGTTCCATTCTCAGTTTTCCAAGGATTCTCCATACTGCTTTCCATATTGACTGCACCAATTTACAGACCCACCAGAAATGTATGAGTGTGCCTTTTCCCCCACATCCTTGCCAACCCTTATTGTTGTTTGTATTCTTAATAGCTGTCATTCTGACTGGAGTGAGATGAAATCTTAGAGTATTTTTGATTTGCATTTCTCTAACTGCTAGAGATGTTGAACATTTTTTCATATATTTGTTTATTGATTATATATCATCTTCTGAGAAGTGTCTGTTCAATTTCTTGGCCCATTTATTAATTGGATCATTTTGGGTTTTCTTGGTGTTAAGATTTTTGAGTTTTTTATATATTCTAGAGATTTGTGCTCTATCTGATGTACATGTGGTAAAAATTTGCTCCCAAGATGTAGCTCTCTATTCACCTCACTGATTGTTTCTTTTGCTGTGAAGAAGCTTTTTTTAGGTTGAATCCATCTCATTTATTGATTCTTGACTTTAATTCTTGTGCTATAGGAGTCTTATTAAGAAAATCGGTGTGTAATCTGACATGATGAAGATTAAGGCCTAATTTTTCTTCTATTAGTGCAGTGTCTCTGATTTAATTCCTGGTTCCTTGATCCACTTTGAGTTTTGTGCATGGGGAGAAATAAGAGCTTAATTTCATTACGATGCATATGGATTTCCAGTTTTCCCAGCACCATTTGTTGAAGAGGCTATCTTTTCTCCAATGTATGTTCTTGGCGCCTTTGTCTGATATAAGATAACTGTAGTTATTTGGGTTTGTCTCTGAATCCTCTATTCTATACCATTGGTCTAGGAAAGAGGTAAAAGACCTCTATGACAAAAACTACAGAACACTAAAGAAAGAAATTACAGAARACCTTAGAAGAAAGATCTACCTTGTTCTTGGATAGGCAGAATTAATACTGTCAAAAAGACCATACTACCAAAAACACTATACAGATTTAATGCAAATCCAATCTCAATGACTTTCCTCATAGAAATAGAAAAAGAAGTTTTGAAATTTATCTGGAAGAATAAGAGAGCCAGAATAGCTAAAGCAATTCATAGTAAGAAGAGCRAAGTAGATGGCATCAGTATACCAGATCTTAAATTATACTACTTATCTTAAACTATACTAAAAACAGCATGGTATTAAGTAACTTTTATTGCCTTTCAGACAAAACAAAGGTGATTCATAGTATTGACCTTCTTTATGTTGTAGAGTTCCTTGAAAAGCTGGGCTGGTAGGGGAGTGGATACTCACATATCAAACCCAGCCAGTTTGACCTGAAGTATTCAGGAGCCCAAACCCTGACTTAAATTTTGTTTGTTGTTTTTTTTTTTTTCAAGATAAATGGAATTCTCTATAAGTGGATCCACCCATCAATACCTCTGGAGGAATGTTTGACCTGTGAAGAGGATGTCATCCTGCACCCCCCACTGAATTCTCTAGCTTCATCAATTTCTGAGAATTTTCCTTCTCCAGAATTTTCCTTCTTGTCAAATCTAGTTACAGGGGAGACCCCAGTACATAGTTCAGTTGACGCTGGGTGTGGCTTCTTTACCTCCCTCCCTCCCTTCCTGCCTACTTCCTTTCCTATTTGGGCATCAAAATGTATTATTGCTTTTGCTACAGCTACTCCTGTATATTTTTGAGAGCATGAGGTTGACAGTAGGGTATTGGGACCAGAATGCCTCATTTCACATACTGGCTCTGACATCTGTTTCCTTGGATAAGTTGTATAATCACTCTCAAGCTCTCTTTTCTTCTTCTTCATCAAGTCATAGGAGGATAAATGTGTTACTGAATGTGAAGCTTTTAGGAGGAGTTAAGTTCTCAATATATGAGAACTTATATTAGATAATCCTATATTCAATGTGTGTTAGTCAGCTTTGCATCACTGAAACCAAAATATCTGCCAAGAACAATTTAGAGGAGGGAAAGTTTATATTGGATCATGGTTTCTGAGATGTAGTTCATGGTCAGCCAACTCCATTGTTCTGGGTCCAAGGTGAGGCAGAACATCATGGTAGAAGGGCACAGTGGAAGAAAGCTCAATTTATGACAGCTCAGAAGATGCACCCTTCCAGGGCACACTCACCTCCTCTATCCAAGCCCCACAGCCTACATTTACCACCCAGTCAGTCCTTTCAAACTAGGATGGACTGATTAGGTTACAGCTCTCACAATCCAATCATTTTACCTCTGAACACTCCTGCATTCAAACACAAGTTTTAGGAGGATACCTCATATCCAAGTAATAGCACAAGAGTTTTCCAACATTAAGATTGCCACAATATTGTTCTGATGGTAAAAGTCAACATAGCTTGTCATATCTTCATTTCTCTTATTAAACACTTATTTCTGAAAATGCAAAAAAAAAAAGTTTGCATTCTTCAAAACAGACTTAATTTTCCTGGTAGCAGTGGTGTACAAATGCTATAGTTAATAGATATAATATCACTTTTCCAAATTTTTTTCTGAGTTTTTTTATAATCTCCTTTGCAGTGCTTTGATTTGTTAAGAATTGCTGATGTATCTTATTCTTATCAAGTTCCCACTTTGGAAATGTGATAACGTATCTGTCAGTTCCAAAAACTGAGCAGAAGTATCTGCCTGTGAGTTCTTGAATCAGCCACACAAATTCCCCTGAACTTGCTCCAAAATTATAACTGGGCCTGAATTGAGCCAGGCAGGGCAGAGGCACGGGTAACGGCTTTAGATGACTGTTCTTTGTCAGTTCCTCCCCACTACCGCAGCCATCACAAACACATTCTCATCTCTTAAAAACAAAAATCTTGAGTTGATTAAAGACAGGAAGTTAGTTTCCTGATAAATATTATGGCTGAAGGGCCATCCTTTCATCACAAATTACCAGTTGACTTAATTTGGAAAAGTCTTCCTGCAAAAAGTCTGTCTCCCTTCCTGGAAGAAAGCTCGATCACATGGAATACTGTGTATTCTGATAAAGAAGCATGTGAACAAACCTCCTCCAACTTCACCCACATTGTCAGACACTGCGTAAAGCCTGGGAGTTTTACGTGTGCTTCCTTCTGCTCCTTGCGGGCACCTGGAGGGAGATGGATTCCTGTCATGGGAGTGTGTTGGCTCTTGCATTTTATTGTTTGAGGATTTCCTTAATGTTCTTACCAGGTTCACCAATTCCTTCATTTGATACACAGTTATCAAGCTTAGTTCTGCTTAATAACAAAACCCCAAACCAACTTCTTTAAATGATAGAAGGGAAACATTTTAAAACGGTTTTACTCCATAATTCCATACAGTGGTTTTTAATCATTTGTGATATCCAATGGGAGTTTGTAATCATGACTCTTCCAATAACTAAAGAAAACAAAAAAGAAAGCACACAACCACACAGAATGACCTTTTTAATAATCCGGAGACGGCTCTGGGACCTTCAGGGTCCTTGGAAAGAGAGCGAGCCACCAGAATTCTTTATTCTTATATAGGGAACACACAAGGAGAGATTCCATGGAACATTCTATCCCCCAAAGGGCAAAAGGGTAGGATTACAAAGGAACAGGTGTAGCTCAACCCCTCTGGGTGCTGCCTACTCCTAGGGCCATGCTTTGTTATCTAAGTGAGGGAAAAGCCGTCAGGAATCATGGCACTACCCTTCCAGACTACAGTGATCTTTCAGATCCCAGGAGTGCATCAGGACTGAAAGGTGCCTGCATTTGGAGTGGCTCCCCTCAGTTTGTGGTTACCAAACTGTGTCTCACCACAGTGTGCCACTGAAAAACAGATTAAGTTGAAAAAATGGAGAGTTTTCAGTCCTGTGCTAGAGTAACAGGCAAGTGGAGCTTAAAAACGAAACAATTGGGCTGGGATTGTGGCTCAGTGGTAGAGCGCTGGCCTAGCACGGGTGGGACCTGGGTTTGATTCTTAGCACCGCTTAAAAATAAAGGCATTGTGTTGTGTTCATGTTTAAAAATTTTTTTTATCTCTCTCTCCTTTTAAAAAAAATGAAGCAATTTTAACAAGCATGTCTCCATTCAAAACATATGATGCACCTTAATATAGTTCAATAACTTTTGTCTGAGTATCAATTTTTTTAACACTCATAACAGATCCAGTGTTTACTGTCATTTATTTCCAAAGACACATTACTAGTAATCTGAACAATTTGATGTCAACTGAGAGGAAGCTGGGGAGGACACAGTTTTGAAATATAGGTTTTCAAAAGAAGAGAGTCACTGCAGATCAGATACTAGGTCATGACTCTTACTCCTGTTTCTACGATGTCAGTTTTGCAGGTTTCCTGTTATGAATGGCACCAACCCCAGGTCCATTTCCCTCATCCCTCACATAACTATATTTTTCCAGGAATAATTTAAGGATCCTGGAGGAAAGGAGACTAATGAGCTAAGAGGTAAACAAACTTTAAAAAAGTGATAACGTACATTTGAAAATCCATTTGCGGATATATTTTGAAAACAGGAGTCAAAATAAATAAGGCAAATGTATACATTTAAAAATATATTCAGTTATCTACAGAAAAGGAGTGATCAGCAGAGCAGAGTATAACCATTGTGTCTTCAATATTAAGGGTATTTTTGTAGGTTGGCTGTGGAACTCAGAGCACTTAACATCAGGGCCTATTGATCATGGAGAAGCTGATTCCCTCCTGGTGGCTTATCTGAGCTGCTGTATGGGATATTTTTGCCATAATTTATTCCACCTGTGTCTGTCAGTTCCTTTCCACTTGCCTCCTCCATGACATTCTGGCTCATGTTTCTTCATAAAGCTCCAAGCYAGTTATTAATAACAGCCCAGTGAGCTCCTGATCCACCAACAGCATATGGTGTTTTTCACCAGAAAGAGAGATCATTCCTTTGACTTTGGACTTTGCTTATTGAACCCCTGAACTGTAAGTGCTGGATTTTCGTTTTGTTGTTTTTTAACTATGGCATTTTAAGATATTGGTGTAGGAGGAAATTTAAGGGGGACTCTTGTTTGCTTCTGGTAGAAGGAGAATATAGTAGGTTAAGATTCACAAAGCCCCTTTCCATTTCCTGCATTTCAACATCTCTGCAAGTTTTATAAGGTGGACTATGAGAAATATTAATTAATTAGAATCCCATGCCTTTCATTTCCTTTCTGGCTAAATAAAAGCAGGAAGAGAAGCAAGGGATTAATGATGCTGTATATAAATTATTTGACTAAGCCCTGTGGCAGGCTTGGTAATCTTTGACAGTGATGTCAAAGATTAGTTTCACATTTGAAAGTAACTCGGGGGAGTTGGATGGGAGACATGGGCCCTTGTGTGTTCCACATTCCATGTTTGGGTGAGAGAGGGTGCTGTCTTGTTACTTCCTTGCTTTTTAGCCAAAGGCTTTGTGTCTGCAGTCTTTTTTTTTTTTTTTTTTTTTTTATAATCGCTGTTTTTGAGAGTCTTGCAAAACAGTCACTGTGCTTACTTTCTGGAAAAGGAGGGTCCTGAAGTCCAGAAAGACAGACACTTTGCTTGCTCCTTGTGGGCAGAGCTGAAACCTGACACTGCAGTCCTTCTGCAGGACCACAGACTAGCATAGCTTTCTACTTTGCTTATATATGTTCAGTCCCTAAACATGTGCCTCAGGCTTCCAGACAGAATGTGTAAGGGAGGCATTATAATGACTTGGAAAGGGGCAGATATGTACCCGGTGTGGAATCCTGGTTTGGACCACTTACAAGTTGTGCGATGGCAAGCAAGWATTCAACAACCCTGAGCTTCAGTTTCCCCCCTTGTGAAATGGGAACCATAACTTGTTTTACTGGGCTTTCCAGTTTATTCATGATGTACATAGTGGCCAAGTATAGTGACAGCTATCTTACAGTTATTTATAGAATTCTCCTTCAAAATTTTCTTAAATCTTCCTAGTCATCTCTCATTTGTTTCAAATTCAGACCCAGAGCCTCCAAATATAGTCTCTAATGGGAAACATTAATCTAGAGTATAGAGACAATATTAAGCTTTCACTGCTTTTAATGTCTTCATTTTTAGGATGGTATAAGCCTGTGAATGCAGAGAATGGATGGATAGAAGTAGGGTATTAGCAGCTCAGGACAATAAGTCTACAGTTACAATCAATGTTGATGGGAAGTTCCAGAAACTGTTCAGAACATAAGCTATTGCTTTTTATAAACTTACCTGACTGTTATAATCATCATTCCAAATTTTTCTTTTGGCTACTATTCTTCTACAGTTCTAAATATTACGTCCTTGCCACATTTGATTCCATTCTGTGTCTGTCTACAACAGAAAGGAAAGTCGTCTCTGAGGTGCATGCTTCCCACAGATTAGTCTGTGGAGTAGTATCAGGAGATATTATAAGATTTGTGTTTTCTTCTATAAAGTTTCATTCTGCCAAGATACACTTAAGTCCTACCGGGTGAAACATACAGAGCTAGGCCAGGAAGTGGCTCATAAGCCTTTTAATATGGAGAAAGAATCCATTTTGTGAATAACTTTGGTAAGAGCCAGAATGGACTTGCTCTGATTCAGTGCTTTTCAGAGCCTCTCCTTGGGTGTCATCTTCCAAGTAATGACTTTGTGAGGCATAGMAGAAAGATACCTTGATGTCACACCTCTCCTTTTTCCTCCACCATGAAAGAAAAAAAAAATGGTCTAGCACCAACTTTGTTGGAAGCTCTGTGCTAAATGCTGGAAAGATCACTTCTTTTCTAAAGGAGGTCACAGTCTTTGACTGAAACTTGAAATTGTGCTCTTCTATTTACTATCTACTTTCTCAACTGAGCTTGACTCAACATGAAATCCAGCTGGTTTCAGAAATCACTTCTGCACCCAGAAAACATTAAGAGAAAATGCAACAGTGAATCTCTGCAGAGGGGTGTGTGGTGCATGCCCAGTATGCAGTTAAAGAGGTTTTGCCAAATGATCTTGAGAACTTAAACAAGTTCGGAGATCCTATACTCTCTGTTCCTTGACCCCAAACCAGAGAGGACACTTCTTTGGATAGCTGAGTTCTGCAGATGAAAAACCCCACCAGTCAACAAATAACCCCCTCATTCCTTTTTCTTCATATCTCTTAAAAAATACACACACACACACACACACACACAAACACACACACATATGTTATAGATGGACTCAATATCTTTCTGTTTTTCTTTATTTTTATGTGGTGCTGAGGATCAAACACAGTGCCTCATCTGTGCGAGGCAAGCACTCTACCACTGAGCCCCAGCCCCAGCCCTCTTCATACCCCTTTAAGGACAGCTTTGATTAGTGCCTCTGTGTTGGGGCTTTGGATGCAAACACATCTCCATCCAAATCCTTGGTCACCTCTTGCTAAATGTGTAATAGCACATTTGTATGGATTGTCTAGTTCTCTGGGCTTGGGTCTTTTGACTAAGAGAGCAGTAGTATTAATATTCCACCTCATAAAGTTTTATGAGATGGAAGTCAAAGTGTGTGTGGGCTTAGTTTTGAATTAAGTCCTTTCAGATCACGTAAGACAGATGTTATTATCGCTTATTCTCCAGATGAAGTTAAGTGCCTTGTCCAAGGCTGCAAAGCTAACAGCGCCACAGCCAGGATCTAAAACCATTCTATATGGCTCCAAAATCTACATTATCTTGTAATCCCAGCTGTGACAAATCACGTGTGTTTTAGTCCTCTTTTTCATCACTGTGACCAAAAGACCTGATAACAACAGCAGAGAGGAGGCAAAGTTCATTTTGGCTCATGGTTTCAGAGTTTCAGTCCACAGACAGCTTAATCCATAATTCTTGGCCTGCATCTTGGTGGAAGGCTGTGACAAAGAAAAGCAGCTCAAGACTTGACAACCAAGAAGCCGAAAGAGCTCTGCTTTCTAAAGTCCAAATATAAACCCCAAATGTCAAGACCTCAGTGACCAACTTCCTCTAGCTATACACTCACCTGCTTAGAGTTACTGCCCAGTTAATCTGTATCAGTGGATTAATGCACTGATTAGGGTATACATCCCATAAATTTATAATTTACTAATTAACCTTCTTTCATTGTAGCACACATGAGCTTTGGGGGGATACCAAACATCTAAACCATAACAATAGCTTTTTGTTTTCAGCCAAAATTTACTTTGTCAAGTGCTTTACCTTTAGATATTGACCTGTTTCACTTGAGATTTACTTTATTCTGGCCTTTCTGGTCTTACATTAGCCTGAATCAATGATGTTGGAASATGGAGAAGGCACTCTTTACAAATAGCCAAGTCTGATGAAACACAGAACCTAATTTATCATGAATACAAAAAAAAATGGCTACTGTTGCTTTCTGTGACCTCGACTAGCCTACATCTCTGGGCCTCATTTGCCAAATGAGAAGTTTATGCAAGATCAAATGTCATTTCCGATACCAACAATTCTTTATTAATTCAAACCTTTTACAACTATTGTTTCTTTTAGTTGAAGAGAGGAAAATCACCTTGAAATCATGTTGTAATCTGGAAAAAAAGTACAACAATCAGGGCTGCCATCACTTAAAATCCATAACCTTTTTGTTTATTCTTATACAAGCTTTCTCATATAAGGCTTATGTCAGTGATAAGTCAATTTTCAGATATGTGGTAGAATTTCCTTTCTGATATAATTCAGCTTTGGGCAGATGTAATGGCACCTTGATTAGTTCAGAAAATAAAACTTAAACTAAATGTCAGAAACTAATAAGACACTCAAAATCCATTTGCCATTAAATATGCACATTTTTCAATGAACACATTTTTACTCACACGAATTTGAGGAGCTTAATGAGGGAACATCTTCCTTATGCCATAGGAGCAGTGGCCATCCCAGAAGGACACTCCTGTCCTGGACCCTGCAGGTCCTCTGCCACATTGTTGTTACCTTCCAAAAACTTGACTTAGTTCCCTAATTCCAAGCAAAAAACAAGAAAAGCAACTGCAATGACATAATTTTCATTTGATTTCTCATGTTTCAAGAAGGCAATTTTATTAAGCATAATCTTTATGGGAAAGGAGACATTTTCCAAATGGAAATAAGATGAAAGCACTAAACATTGGGGTTTTATTTTTTAAAATTATTTTCTGGATAATTATTTTAAATATCTATATCTATATCTGTATATCATGTTTTCCTTACTGTAACTGTCATTTGAAAGAAATGAGCTTTCAGTTTTCCATGAAATCTTCTACCTGAAGTGCAGCTCTTAAGTTGATACTAGTTGAAAAATAATTATTGCCAGAGACTCTGAAGTTTTAGGATTCAGGAGAGACAAGGCTGTCCCCAACTTCTAGAAAGACAGCAACTGTCCATGGCATTGTGAGTGGTAATGGATATAACACAGTGTAGTGACCAGCCATTTGTTATATAAAATTGGGAAATAAATTCTGAGGTGGTCAGAATGGATCCTGGAGGAGGTAACATTGAGTCTGAAAAGATGAGAAGTTTGACAGATCTATGTTTAGTTGCTAAAAAAGCCTGAGAATAATTCATTTAAAGGGTACAGTTTAGCAGGCAGCATGCTAAAGTATAATTAATAATAATTATTATYATTGTTTATTTACTTTCTAGGCACAAATATTATTGCATTTAATTCTCCCACTATCCTATGAAATAGGACATTTTACCATCCTCAATTAATAGAAGTTCGGAGTACAGTTAATATAACTTAGTTAATATAACTTGCTCAAAGTCTCATGATAAGTGGCAGACCTGAGACCTAAACCTTAGTCTGATTCCAGAGCTTTACTCAACCATCAGGTCCTGGGAACATTCTTCTTGTGTCTAGTTAATTTTAAGAGGTTAAGGGGAGAAGTTTTTCAGGTATAAGGTTACCAGTGATTAGAAACAAGAGCAAATTTTCATATCAGTAATAAACAAGAATAAATTAGATAATAAAAATAGACAATAAGAAACTGTCCTTTT